ATATATTTCCCAGAGAGTTATGTGGTCACGGACATCTAATCTGTAGACCCATATTAGCTACAATCCATTTAAAAGTAGATAAAAAATTGTAATGATTTCCCAGTCTGTTGGAACAGAGCTCTTCTATTTTAGACGAAAAACACAGGGTTTTTTAAAAACCTGTATTGGAATCTAAATGTAAATTGTATTGCTTTTTGGCTTCTCTTTGAAGAGGGTTCAGCCAACACATGTATTTTTTGGGGGGAAAAAAAGATACTTGAGATTTACTGAAATCCACTAGGAGAAGAACATGGTAAGGATTTGGGCAGACCTATGGTGAAGACCATTCTAAGAAATCAGACTGATTCTGCTACGTGTTTAGTTTACAAGCAGCACTGATCATGAGCCTGTTACAGAGATGGCAAGGGAAGTAGAAGAAGTAGGAGAGTTCTATTAAATGATTGAATTTCCATGGAATTGACACTCAAGCCTTACTTTGCTCGAGCTAGATGGTTGCTGGCATTCTCATATTCATTGAGCAGAGACCAGAAATAGTTGGTAACGAATAAATTGATGTGAAGGAAAATCTCGTTTTCTTGTCCTGATGATTGGAGATTTTGTAACTCTGAAACAAGGAGTTTGGAATGATTCTAACACCATCAAATTGAAACAGCCTATTTCCCTAAAATGTTGTCCAGGTTTTGTCAACATTTTTATGACTGAACATAACTCTCAGCTATTCTTTTCCAAAGAAGGAGAAAAAGGCTTTTGATGGTCCTATTATTAGAAGGATGATAATTTAACCTGGGAGGGAAGATGTAACGTGAGGAAATTGGTTGTTGTTATAGGCAACTGTTACTCATCCCCAACGATTTCAGCTAAAGCAGATTTTTCGAGGGAGAACTTGTTTTAGGGGAGCTGATCAGCTGCCTCCTGGATTTTCTGGCTTGGCTGGAGACAGAGCCTTTGTAGTTCCTTTTGCTTAGAAGTAGTGTGCAGGATTATAACATTTCCTTACCCTTGCAGAGGTCTGGCCACACTTCTCCCACTACCACCAACAGCAGTTCCTTCCCACTGCCAGCTCATTTCCTTTGCTCTTCTGGATCCCATGTCAGGGCATTTAATCTCCTCACCAATTCTGAAGTTCTCTGGTATAAATTCCAGTGCTCACTGGCTAATGAATATCTCTAAGCAGATGTTAAAACTAAATTAATAGTTTTAACTAGAACTGTATTTTTGCTCCATAGCTCTGCCTGTTTTTGTCTCTGATGTCCACTGGGGAATGTTGCAGAGCTTTGACAGAAGTGGAAGATATTAAAATAACCTCATTGCTCCGTGCTGATGTTCAGTGTACATAGCAAATTGAGGCAAGAGGACTCCCTGAAATTAGGATAACTTTACAGCTGCTTGCACTACATTTTGCATAGTTTGTAAGGGCTGTTTAACACAGATTTCTCATTAGCACAACATTCTTGCATGTTAAAGGTTTTTAGGGTATTTTTTTTGCTGCTATTATGGGCAATAGATGGTTTTCCCATAAGAAAATTTGGTCTTGATAAATGGGCTTATGAAACGGTTTTAACTCCTTACCACTTCTCAGAAACATCATGTGCTAGCCTAACTCTGTCTTTGATTGTTTGTCTTCGTCTGAGAACATCAAACAGCCCACACTGTTACTCTTCCTCAAGCAGCTGTTGCCTTTATTATGCCAAATTCTGGTTTCTGTAGAGTAGACTGAAGTAATTTTTTGATTATAAATTGATCAAAATTTGCTTTGTCACCTCACTGACTCTTAGAAGGAGTTTTGCATGTAGAGAAAAAACCTTTACTTTTCTCAGAAGTAGAGGTGCAAACTGCAAATTCCCTTGGCACAAAGAGAAAGATTTCTGTGCCCACCGTTCAGATTTCCCTAGACAATAAACAAGGGTGTAATCCAGCCTGGAAAGTTTAAGATTATGACCTGCGTGTTCTTAGAGCTGTAAGCACACTTGATAGCAGCTGAAACAAGGAGCTAGACCAGAAAAAATAATGGAGTAGAAGAGCTTTTAGCTGATCTGGTTTCAGATGGACAGGGCAGGACATGGTAGGGCAGATTAGACCTCAGACACAGGATGGCTCTTAGTAAGTTCTGGTGGAAGGAAAGGGAGAGATGATTTAGCAGCACATAAAATAAATGGATGGTGCATTGAGATGTATCTGTAGGAGTACTGAGTCACAGCTCATCATCTGGAAAACTGGAACTTTTCAGTACTACAGCAACCCATTAGTTGCTGTATGTATTTTGGGAATGAGGGGACAGTGATAAGTAATGCTTTCTGGAGCGTGGTATAAGAGAACTGGGTTTTTATCTTCTGGGTGTTTCCATCCTATAAGTTTTCCTGTCAGATTTGGGACAACAATATTTCACTTGGCTTTCAGTTTGTCTCTGAATCATTGTTACAATAGAATTTATTCTTCCAAGACTGAATTGCTGAAGAAAAAAAGGCAGAACTGTTTGGGAGGTGGGTGGTATAGAGGAGAAGAGGTGAAAGAAAAGGTCTGTGCATGACTGATCTAATTTTCTTCATCTCACACACTCAAAGCAAGTATGATAGTGTCTGATTAATAGTCATTATTAAGTGACCAAATGCTTATTTTCTTGGTTTGAAAATCAGAATTGAGATGGCATTTCTCGTGTGATGGGCTAGATTTAACAATAGTGTTGTGTAAGACCCGAAAGGAACAATGACTTCTTTTGCAGAGGGAACAGTCTGTGCACTGGCCATGCTTCAGTGGAAAAGACAAGAACTTTCTGCTAGCATTTAATACATTTGTAACAGTTATAGGAAAGACACCTGTTGACCAAATACTATGTTTGTGAAGGGTTTAGTGGAAAACGAATTCTCCTGCACTGGAGGCATGTCAATGTGGTTTCTACTGCTCAAGTACTGTTTGAAGTCTTGCAGTCATGGGCAGACCTTATTGTAGGTAACCATGGAATTTCATTATATTCACCAGTTGGTAACTCTTAGTATATTGATAGTTGCATTTAATCAAAATTTAGGTAAGGAGGCAAAACTGAAAAACTTAGCAATTTTGTCTCATGTACCATAAGCTCAAATAGAAAGAGGATAAACATACAATCTAGAGATAAAATAAAATTTACTACTTATCAGCTGTAAAAGCTTGTATGTTTAACAAATGTCTTTTTAAGCAGAGTTATGGCACAACCATTTTCAACGTTCACATTGTTTTCAGAATTATTGCACCAGTGTGCCACTAGGTTGTTAGGTTTTGAAGGGAAAGACCAGGAATGCTTCCTTGGACGTAGTAGATGAAAAAAAAAAACAAAAAAAACCCCTTCTACATGCCTGTATCAATTCTTACCCTCATCTTTATTGGGTTAATTTCTACTTTATTTAATGTAAGCTTTGTTTGATTTTGATATATTTAATTAGGAATGGCTGCATATGATTAGATATAACTGCTGTTTATTTATTTAGTGGAATTAAATTGCACAAACTTTTCTCAGATGAGTACCTGTCTATGTTGCTATCAAAATACGTTATATTTGCTACTTTTACAGATTTCTGGTTTATTACTCATTAAATATTCAGGTAGTCTGGCGTCTCGCTTATGAGATGCAAGAAGAGGAACTGAAAATAGCCTTAATTTCGCAGAAGACAAGATGAAGAAAAGCAATTTTATTTCTACAGCTTACTTCTGAATATGACTAGAACTACAGTGTGATATCAGTTTGTAACATGACTGTATGGATTTCTGCCTTACCTTGAAAAGGTTGGGTCCCAAAATATTAGGATTAGAATAAAACATTTGGGAAAGGTAAGGATTATCTTAAATAAAGTGGAATCTATTGCTGTGGGAAGAATGAATGTAGGATATTTTTATTACACAAATTTGGAAATGGTATCGGTTGGTGTGACGCTGCATCAATGCACTCAACTCCTCCCAACTCTCCTCTACTGGGTTGTGCTAGGGCACGTTTTCAATGTCAACATCACCCATTTGAACAAAAAGATACACACTCAATAATTTAAATACATCATACGTTTCCAAGATGCAAATACATCATGCAAAAGACAGAGAATGAGAAGCGTTCGTAAGGATGGGCTGTTCTTCCATCAGTGTGAGTTCAGACAGCATGTGCACAACGTCAAGTTCAGCTGCAGTTTTAGTTACACCACAGACATTTTCCTAACACTTTCCTGTATTTACCCGCTCCTTTTCTCGAATTCTTTAAGCATCGCCACCCAAATTTTGAAGAGCCGACCGCCTCCCGCTAGGTTATCTCTCAACGCCAGCTGTCAGAGACCCATCAACAACTGGGCTTCCAGCACGTTCCTGAACACGAAAATTATTTGTAGCGGCCAAGACTCCTCGTTTGTTTGGGCGGCAGAGCGGGGAGGCACCCGGAGCTCCTCCAGCGCCTGGCAAACGCCTCCCCGCCGCGGGGGCGGCGAGCATCCCGGCGCTCGGGGGCTGCGGGCGCAGGTGGGACGCGCCCCGCTGTAGCAGCGCGGCCACCGCGGGAGCGTCACCGCCACCTCCTCCCTTCCTCCGCAGAGCGCCGAGCCCTCGGGCGGCTCTGGCGGCAGCCGCAGAGCCCCGCGCTGGCGGAGGCCGCTGCGGTGAGAGCGGGGCCGGAGCGGGGGCGGCTCCGGCGGGGCCGGGGCGCGGACAGGTGGGTGGCGGGCGGTGCGAGCGCGGCGGCGGCGGCGGCGGCGGCGGGGGCGGGCCGGGCCGGCCGTGGGCAGGCGGCAGCGCGGATGCCGAGCCCCCCGCACAGCAGCGGCGGCGGCGGCGGCGGTGGGAGCCCCGGCCCCGCGATAAAAAGGGAAGGGGCCGGAGGTGCGCGCTGCGGGTCCGCCGTGCGGCAGAACGTGCCTGGAAGGGCTGGAGGCTGAGCCGGCGGGGGAGCGGGAGGCTGTGCCCAGCGATGAGCCGCCTCCCTCCCTCGCTGCCGCCCGCCCGCCCTCCCGCAGGAATCCCGGGACGCGCAGCGGCACAGGGCGAGCGGGGGAGCCGCGCTGGCGAGGAGGAGCCGCCGCCTCACGCTGCGGCACCGGCCCGGCCAGCGCAGGTGGGTTGGGCAGCGCCCGCTCCTGCCCGGGCTGGAGCCGTGACCCCTCGCCCCGGCGGGGTCCTGTGTGCGGCTCGGGGGGTGAGTGCGGGGGCTCCGTGGGGCCGCGGGCTGGCTCGGTGGCCGCGGGCAGCGGGGCGGTGCCCGGCGCACCTGAGCGGGGATGGTGGCCGCGTCCCGGGGGGCTCCGTGCCCGGGGGAGCCTCTCCCGTCCGGGAGCGACCGGCGCCGGTGGGAAGGCGAGAGGGTTACCTGGACGTGTGCTTCGGGACGTGGGCAGCCTCGCCGGCGCTGGGGAATTTTATTTCTTTATTATATCACCTTCGGGTTGTTTTTTTGTTGTTGTTGTTGGGGTTTTTTTTAAATTATTTTAATTTTTTTCTAAGACCAACTTGTTCTTGGAAATCGCGTTTGATTTCGGTTTCTGTAGCCGTGTGAGGTTTCTGGCGGTGGTGGCTGCGGGTGTCGCTGCCGTAGGGCAGCGCAGGGTGCGGGTGCCCGGAGCCTCCCGTGCTGCGGGGACCCCGAGTTTGTTTCTGGCCGCTCCCGACTCCGGAGCGTTTTTCCAGCCAGACGCGTTTTTCCAGGGAGCGTTCGGGCTCCCGCTTCCAGGGATGATGAGCGATTGTTAACTGGAAGAAAGAAGAAGGCATGTGCATGCAAAAGCCGGGTTTCCCCCCAGAGCTCGTACTCCGAAACTTCGCTATTCGGTGAAACCCGTGTTCTGAACACCAGGAAGCTTTGGTTTTTCCAGGAAGGCATGAATTTTCTGAGTTTTTTTCACATTTTCAGGGAAGAATTGATGTGAGGGCTCTGGGTACTGTGTTTAGGTCTTATTTGGTTGTAAATGGTTAAATTGGCAGGATATGTGGCATATTGCTCAAAGTGCAGTAAACCTGGAATAAATCAAATGGCTTTCATTCTATAAAAAAGTTCAAGATCATTGCTAATTCTAGGAGATAATCTTTCAAATACTAGCAGTTTTTATTTGTATGCATTTCTTTATAACCTGTATAAGGTAACTAAGCTGAACATGGGTATTATGCCTCTGTAAAACTATGTTCATTTTTCAGACGGCAGAACAAATCCAATTAGGTTTTTTTGTATTTACCAAGTAATTAGGTGCAGATGTTTTTGCATTGCTACTTCAGAAGTCACCTTGTTCTGTCAAGGTTATGACGTGTCCACCAAGCAATGAGGAAAAAATAAAAACCTGCAAAGAGTCTCAGAGTTTTAAATATCCTCTTGGTTTTAAATGAGTTGAGATTCTTTGGTGGTAATTTTTTTTTTCTTTTTTTCCTCGAATGTATTAAAGAGAAAAATGTAAATAACTTGGTTTGAATATCTAAATGCACCTTTTAGAAAAGGGGATGCTTTAGAATGTTTGTCTAGAAAAACAAGTGAGCTGAAACATTGTGCTAATAGGATTTGCAGCATAAAATATGGCTAATTTCTCTTGTATGACTACAGGTGGCAGTGTAGAAGCCAAGAACAAAAATTGGCAGAAATTGTGTTCTGTGTACGAGAATATGAAGAGTGTACTCATGACTAAGCACAGGAACCTGGAAAACCACAGGTATGTGAAGTGATTCATACAGCTGCCTATGGTGCTCCTGGTATTTACTGTATTCTGATATTCCTGGCTCAATAAGTATTTTTGGACCAATTATCACTTAATGTGTTCACAGTAAGAGCCTAATCAAAATGTCATGGAAAAATCTATATTTGACTACTAAAAGGAGAAAAAATACTTTGAAGGCAGTATGCAAGGAGAGGTGGGATTTTCCTACTTCTTATGGTTTATTGTAACTGTTGAGAATTGGAGCCCTAAGTATTCTGAAGATTATTTTTTTAATCCCTTTAAATAAATATATTTTATATTGATAAACCTAGCAGCAGTTACAGGCCTGAATATGCTTGAAAAGGAGAAACTCTAGACACAAGAGACAAGTTTGCATGTCTGGCTACTTTGGATATCTTATCAGTAATGTTTTTTAACGAGCACTGAAGGATTGGAAGTGTGAGGAAAATTGCAGAATTAAGAAGATGTTATTACGAATTACATGTAATTTCAAATAAGTGTCCAATGGGGATATGTATACCTTTTTAAGGGCTAAATCTTGTAAAATTAAAAAAAAAAAAAGACAACATTGTTTTCAATTAAGAAATAAAAGTAAAAATAAGCAGTATGTAATAAGAGCTCAAGATTAGATCTCCTATTTCAAAGCACAGGAAAATACTAGATTATTTTAATAATTATTTGGTCATTAATTAGCAACATTAGAGTAAGGCAAAGCTTTTCTTGAATATTTACCCTGGTGTGCACAGCCTGTGGAAATTAGTCCACAGGTGTGCATTCCAGGATTCCTAGGAAGCCACGGAGGATGAGACAAACTTGGAGCTGGGGCTTGAGGATTTTTTAGGACTGATGAGTGGGAAGTTACCCCAGTAAGAAGTGTCAAAGTGGAATTGTCACTGTGATCATGGGTGTATTTATAGTCTTGCACTTCCTTTTCTGGTCTAGGAGAGCAGTTTGTCTAAACCTTTCAGTTGCTCCTGAGAGAATGTGTTTCTACTCCAAATGCCCAGGGATGACCAAGTCACCTTGTGTCAGCCCCTCAGTTGTAAAGGAAGTTGCAGAGAGAATGATTTATTTTGCTGTTAAAATGGGCTAAGACACCTCATAGGTATGACAAACCAGCAGTCACCACTATACTGTTAAATTATTGTGACTTGGCATCTTGAGGTTATGGAATCCAAGTAGAAATTAATTATTTCCACACAGTGCTTAAAGTACCGACCAGGAAACCAAAGTTCAGGTATGGCTTTGTGGACACTCAAGCCCTGAAATTGTAAGGTCTCTGTAGAAAAGCTGTGTCTCTGTTGGGGAATAGTAAGATCCTGATCTCTGGTTTTGGGTACATCATAATGCTCTCAAAATAATGTGTGCCTTGGATAGAATACCCTGCAAAGCTTTCAAAGTTCTTCAATTACAAATGAAAAGGTGGCTGAATATAGGTCTTCAGTGTGCAGCAGAGAGCTCTCCTAAGCCTCTGGCTGTCATGCTTTTTGTGCCACCTGCTACTTCTGAGTGAGCATCAGTATTAACTTCCATATACACTAGTAGGTCTTTTATTATTATATGTTATTGAGGAACAGGGTTTACATATCCATCAAAACCTTACATTAATATCCCTGATAAAGTCAGTTGAACTGTTTATGTAGTACAGGTCAGCATATGCTTGTGGCTTTGTTGAACGTAGAGTTCATTAGCTTGTGCTAACACGTTTAGAAGAGAAAATGAAAAAGTCGTTTGTCATTGGCACAAAATTTTAATGGGGTCTTCCATTACATCAAGTGCTGAAAATATTTTAAAAAATGGTAACTAAGCAGTGTGATGCTCAAGAGTTCAATTTACAGACACTTCTCTGTGCTAATTATGAAGTATTGACATAAATGAATGAAACCACTTGTTAAAGCGCCTTTTTCAGTGTATGGCAGTTATGTGTTCACAAGATGATTCATAACATTCAGCAATTTGTGATGAATTTCCCTGCCATTACAGGAGATTACCAAGTATCTGATGTATTTGCACTACACTCGGTTACTTCAAATTAGATTTGATGGTGGAAAGGGAACTAAAACCATTTTCCATCAACTCAAAAATCAGGCCTGTTTTGTGAATCAGTATTGAATTTCTCTGTACTGTATGGCACAATTTATCCCTTACAATAAAATGCAAATGTTTAAGCATCTTGCCTATAAATACAGCAGTGACAGTGTGTGGTGTGTGTAAGCTCTCAAGACTTCTTTTGTGTCAAAAGCTGTGTACATCAGAGCCAACAAAATGCAGCAGACTTGGTGTAATTGAAAGTAGAATTCATAGTAAGAAATCTAAATGGGCAAGGTCCCACTTTGAATCAGCAAGTCCTAGTTATGTAGAATATCCCTGGATTTGGTGGAGGGTGTAAAGTACAACTCCCCTCCACATTGCAGAAGAGGCTGCATCTTAAGAAACAGTTCTGTGTTTCTGTTTTGAGCTAGAAGTTGTGGCTGGTTGTGTGTTCTGTTGTCTTAGGGAAGCAGTATTTAAGGGCTTGCACAATCAGTCCTTTCATGCTATCATAAAGTGGCTGTGATCTGTTAGATTATAAAGCATGATTGCCCAGCAGTTATGGGAAATGTCTGTTAATGATAGCAGAGTGTTACACAAGAAAAATTAAACTTTCTTACTCCTCCTTACTTTCATTAATTGTCTTGAAAATGGTTTGTGGGAACCTGAAGAATGGGTTAAAGGTGCTGAATGGAAGGCAGAGAAGTTATTAACATTTCACAAAATAAATAAATACTTTAAATTTTCACAAGCACCAACCAGTCCAGTATTAAAATGGATTTTTAGAAAACCACTAGAACAATTTTAGATTTTTAGAAAACCACTAGAAAACTAATGTCTTCCAGGAGAATGAGGACAGTCTGGAGGGAGAGACACAAAGTGAAAATTTCAATGGAATACAATGAGAGTAAGCCTACAAACACAAGGAGTGTGTCTGAGGCCATTTAGCCTAGACCCTTTGGCTTCTCAGGCTAGAGGCTGATACCAGATCTCCAGTTAGGAAAAAAAAAACCAAAAACATTTACTTGCCCTCAACAATGCAGCTGTTAAACCAAAGAGATAGTTATGACACTGCAAGATGCTCATTGCAGATTAATGCAACTGGACTCTTGTGAAAGTCACGACATGCAAAGTGTAAGGAAACTACTGTCAATTAGAAAATCTGTAAAGCAAACCTCCAGGCAAGTATTCCCACCTCTGTCTCCAGGGAGGCTGCTGCTGGGACATCAATCCTGCAAAGGGGAAATGACCCTGAAATTAGGTCAGAACAAATCTCTTCCTGTAGATGAGACCTTGATGTCAGGTGATGGCTGAGTATCCTTCTGCTCTTGGAATTCCATTGCCTGGTGTTGGTTCCAGGTGATGAAGAGACCTCTCCTGCTGTGGGGTGTAACCAGGGCTGGAAGGGAATGTTTGGAAACCTTCCAGCCACATGCCAAAGTGACTTACAGCAAAAGGAGTCTAGGCTGCCTTTCCATGGTGGAGAAGTGCTGGTGACATAAAGGCAACTGAAGAGTGCTGGAGGCAGCACATGAGTTACTGGATGTAAGGTTGAGAATAAAGAGCTGTGCAGCATCAGTCTGCAGTGTATTCCCAATGTCCTGCATGAGGGCAAGCAGGGAAGGCACACAGGTCAAGATGACACTGCCTGTGCCTGGGGTACACGAGGCAGAACTTGATGGAGGTCATCTGGAGAACAGTGAAGGATTGCTGGAAAAATTAGGTCTTATTTATACAGGAGCACAGAAGGACAGGCAGGCAGACCAAAATGGAAGTGTTTCTATGCAAATGTTGGAAGACTGGAATATAAAATGGAGATATTGATGGCTTAGTTCAGCAGTGAGTTATTGACAGCCCACATCTGCCATATCAAGCAGGACACTGATTAGGGTTCCTATGGACAGCCTGGTAAGAGGAACTGTCAACAGAATAAAATGCTTGCAGCCATTGTGGAGAGACTCAGAAAAAAACCCCAACATATTTCCTAAAAACTGCTTCTATTTAGCATGGTTGAGCAAGATGTGTAAGGAACAGAAAGATACTCTGCAAAAACAAGTCCAGAAATTTAAAAAAGTTGACATTCATGCAAAATAAACATGAAATAGACAGTAAAACAAGTTTAAAAGCCTGATATGTGATAAAAGGCAGAGAAGCTTATCATAAGTCCTTTCAAAACAATCAGAAATGGGATGGCCAATGGTCCAATAGGTAACTAAGAGCTAAAAGAACTCAAAGAATATTGCACCTGTAGCTAAAGGCATATGAGAGAACAATGTTCACAGTAGCAGTGAAGCTGAGGGTGCCAAAGGTGATGCCAGGTTTTATAAAGGCTTCCAGAAAGCCTGTGGGAAAGAACAGGACAAGTTTGACTGGCATTCTTACCAGCCAGTTTTCTGGTAAATACAATGGGGAAGAAAACTAGAGCATTCATGGACAATTTGATGCACCAGGAAAGAGTCAGAACAGTCTCACAGGTCTGGTGGAGTTCTTTGAAGCACTGTTGAGGTTGTGAGTAAGTGTGATTTAGCTGATGCATACACTGGGGCTCAGGGAATCTTGTGAGAGCGACTCACCAAAGGTGCTGAGCAAAATGAAACTGCTCTGACATAAGAGGAATTTTTTTGTCCTAGAGTAATGGCCAAAAAGATGAATAAATGTCCTGTTTAACAGAAGGGATGGAGGTCACCAGTAGAGTTACTCATGGATCTGTGCTAAATTTAACACCAATATGCATTGGTGATCTGAAAGGGGGAGTGCAGAATGATTCCAAATTAATGAGAGGAGCATAAATGAAAGCCAATTATGAAGAACCCAAGAGGGAACTTGTGATGCTTAGTAACTGGTGTTGAAGCTTGCTGCTGGTGCTATGAAGTAATGCATGTGGTGGAGAACAATCCTGCCATTATTGAGATGATTAGTGTGGAAGGAAGCAATGTTGTAGAGAGTTTATCATGCCGAATCCA